TATAACGTGCTTTTCCCTTTTGATACCAGAGTCACCTCCAATTGTTGCTTCCCTATGTTGCTGCTGCGACCTTCAGCGACACCATCGCCTACTACTAAGCACATTGGCCGCCACCATGTTCATATATATATCTCCTCCCCTTCAGCTCTCTCTCTCTCTCTCTCTCTCTCTCTCTCTCTCTCTCTCTCTCTCTCTCTCTCTCTCTCTCTCTCTCTCTCTCTCTCTCTCATGATGCAAGAGTTTTGACTTAATATTATTAGAACTTTCACAGTATATAAATGTTGACATGTAATTCACCTATAATATCATCATAATTGTTTAATAAAATTTTTCGAATGACAATTTAGATTTTGTCGGAAAAGTGAAAAATTTTCTAGAAATCAAAACAAACAAACCCAAAATATGCTTGAAATTGTCCCTTTTCTTAGTCCATTCATCCATGTATTACAGAAAGCTAAAATCTGAGATTTTGATTTGTAGATATCTCAAAAGTTTTCCTTGAGCTGATCAAATACGCAAACGGGCATCTTTTCTATCTGCCTCCCTCCCTCTTTAATTGAAAATGGCTTGGGTATATACTTGAGAACGAAGTCACACAAAACTTAAGAAAGAAACCCTAACACACTTCAAAAGCTATAAAGCACAAAAGATCTTCTCCAGTATATTCACCTCCAGAGATTTATAGTGCTTGTTAATAAAGGTTTGGCCTACTTTAGTTCAACAAGCAAAGAACTGCTAGGTTAAGATTAGTCAAAGATAATGAATAGAAAAGTAATAAAGTAAAGGAAAGAAAAAAACTAGAAAGAAAAGAGAAAACTAAAGTTGAAATAGAGAATTGGTCTGGGAAAAGGCACATATTCCTTGCCACCTTTTTTTTAGTGTGCAAAAGCATGTGGGCTTCTATAGATGTGGATTCCTCGACCTAAATCTGCTCTTCTTTTAGGGTAAATTTTCAAAAGCAAAGAAAGATCCTTTTCCCAGCAATTATACTACAATTACCGATATTTACGGTCCTCCGGTTCTCACATTTAGAAAGTTAAATAATATTGGGTAATATAAGAATCGGTCTACAAAATGACATGATAAATTGTCAGTGGACACTTGAACAATTGGATCATGTTCGGCACTGTAATACCGTGATAGTACTTCGTAAATGGATTTTGCATGGGATAGACTTTTGGAGAAGAGAGGATTACCTTTTTTTAGAAAGAAAAATTCGAAATAGCTTTTGCAGATTTGGGAAGGTTTTACAAAAAGGACTTTACTACAAGTTTCTTTTCATGATCATGAATATCTTGGTCAGAATTGGATCTCATATTTAACGTTAGAGTCCTCCACATTGCTTGGGCGTGAGATTACAATACGAAACAGACATAAGCGTGTATCCTTGCAAGTCACAAGTTAACATCTTAATTAATTTTGCTTTCAGTGGCAAACTTTCATCAAAGCCCAATTAATAGAACCTTATATAATTAATTAAACAGTTGATCCACATTTCCAAGATGGTCCAAGTCCATCACTCTTAACCCAGCTATGTATCTCCTTTGAATTAATTATACATAGGTTGCTAACAAAACCCTAAATTCACGCTATGCTTTCTTGGAATTCCACACAGGATAACACATGCTACAAGACAAACCCTAAAATCTCTTTCCCAGTACAAACTCTTCCAAGAAAGGGAATAAAAGGAACAGTGCAACTTCACATGACTTGGACTCATCTCCTTGTATGCTAATTCCATTTCAAGCCCGGATCATGCCCATGCCTTGGTACTAGGGAAAAAAATCAATACCTTTTGAACTCTCTCTGTTTGAATTGCTCGAGTGAATATATACAATAGACACACCTAGAGACACACCTACAGAGAGAGACACGGAGAGACAGAACATGGTCATTCCTTCATTTTAACCAGAAGAAGACAACCAAAGAACAAACATACCCGTGGTGACAACGTTTTGCTTTTCCCCAAAGACTGTTCATTTTTAAATTCCACAAAAAGAAAACTAATTCTTTCAATTGCCCCCAGAGAGAGAGAGAGAGTTTTGTGTTAGGAATCTTGATTTTGTGAGGGGGCCTTGAAAGTTGAAAGAGTGACGGGGTGGTGTTGTTGGGAGGAGGACAGAATATTCTCAAGTCGCCAAAGTTCAACAGCATAAGTCCAAGGAAACTATCGTAAAGAATTGGGGAATGATTAGATTATGATTAAGGGTGACAGCAAAAGTCAGCCCACAGGCAGACGCTCTTCCCACACTTCCAAAAATTCACTGCCTTTGTCAGCTCGCTGTCTTTTAACCTCTTCCCACGTTACCTCATTTTCATATTTAATTTCATAAACACATTCAAAATCCCTGCACCTATCTATATATATGAATGAGTCCACAAATTTATTTGAGGGGTATGATTAAATAATGTTTCTGAGTTTAAAAAAAATGTGGGGGGCGGGGGGGGGAGATCTGTGGCTTCTATCTACATCGTGCATGATTTCCTCGATTAACAGAAGTGAATGTAGAAAGAGTGCATTTGATTCATGGGTCCTTGTCCATTACATGGTTTGCTTTAAGCAGAAGCAATTTCTCAATTTGTTTGCGCAAGTTAATTGATTGCTTACCACTAAACAAAAATTAAAGAAAAAAGGGAAAAACAAGTGGCTTTTGTAATTCGAGACCTACCACTTCCACTTTTTCGCCATATGATGGTGGGTTATAAGCAGCCTTCGAAGTACAACCGAAAGTTTTATTTTCTTTCCTTAAAGAAAAGCATGTACTAGTGCTTGTGCTGGCAAAAAGGAGAGGAACAAAATATCAATCATTAAGTTTGCTATCTACCAATCAACAATTGACCAACCACTCAAACTTAAAAAAAATTGACTCGACGGGCTACATACATTCACAGACGTCTACATATAATATGTATGACATCCACATTATTACGTATTCCACTTAGTTCGGTATTACATAAGTAATTGAGAACCTCTAAATTTTTAGGGTAAATTTACATATAAAATCTACTCTCTTGGGAGATTGACACTTTATCATATGTGTTATGCGATAGTCCAAATTTCTTTGCCATTTTCTTTCCTCTCCTTTTTCCCCTTCACCTATTTCCGATTTTGCCTCTAGTAGTAGCAGTACGGTACTACTCGAGATGATGGCCAGTGATCTTGAACACAACGGCAAGGACAGGAGGCCAAGGCATCAACGAGATAGAGTGTGATAGCGTCGGCATGGGGAAGAGAGACATAGAGGAGGGGATGTGTAAGATTTCTGGTTTCCTAAATAACTTTTCCTAAATCACAAGAGAATTTTGGTCCAAAAGTAACTTTACCGATTAAATTTACACCTATCTAAATCTAGAGGATCCCAATCTTTACTCAATTTGCTAGGTTCACTTCAGAATCCACAAATCCACAGTGCTTCGACCAAAAAATTTGGTCTTCATAACCAACTACATGTATTTTCTTTTCAATGGAGTTGCAGTATAATTTTCTCCTACTTTATAATTAACGGTCCGGATAAATCTAGGTATTAATGTACAAACAATTGCAAGATTAATAGTGTAGCCTATAAAAATAAAATGGAATTAAATGACCAAGTGGATTTGAGATCTTGACAAGGAGATTCATGGTCTCGCAAAAGAACTGCCATCCGGACGATTATTCCTTGCAATGTCTTTGTTTCGTCGTTTGCATTGGATTTTACCTTGCTTGACAGGTGGACACGTGCATGTCGCCACGTGCATGGGAGATTTAAAAGATACTCATGCTCCAAGAACCCTAAATAAATAAATTTTAAAAAAGCAAGCACTTTTTTTTAATCCAAACCCACGAAAATTAGCAAAATTAAAGAGTAACTGATGAGCCAGAAACTTACCGAGGGGGATTTAATTTACGTTTTTTTGGGAATAAGGATTAAAAAAAGGGTGTGATTGACAAAGACAAGCAATCACTCGTGTACATATGAGTTTCCGTTTCATTTTTTGCATCTTTTTGACGAAGAAAAAAGCAAATCCACCATTCTTGGTACGAGAAGTATGTTTGAAATTGAACTTCGAATGATAGGTATGGACTGGAGAAGAATATCTTGTGCATGCTCAACAAATAGAATCGAGGTTTTTCTTTTGTAATTTAAAAATGCATTTTCCTCCTACTTCTTGCGACAGAGAATCAAGTTATTGAAAGGTGCGCAACCCACGTTATCGTGAACCGTTTGCATAGAAAATATCTTCTCCACGATATGGAGTGCAATCTCAAGTGGTATTGGAGAAACTAGATGAAGGAACAAAAATCTGAAGTAAAGAAGATGTCGTAACAAAAGTATGTTCTACATTGCAACAAAAAAATATTTTCACCACTTTAACATGGTATCAGAGATTTGACCAATAAAAAAATATGGTATCAAAGAAAGATTTTAAATCCACTCTGCGTTCTCCTCTATTTATGTAATGGGTCTTAATACGTGTGGGAAGTCTGAAAATTTAAAATGTACGTGATTTTTTAGAAAAAGCTCGAATTTCTAGAAAAAAATTTTCATGCCATCGACTTGAAGAATTACAAACTATGTATTCACGAGTAAACCCGAATATATAATCACAAATGCAGGATTTTCAACACATCTTAGGAGCTCTTATATGTTCTCGAAATAAATCTTATTTGATTGGGTACCAACTGTCAATGTTTGTATAGACTTTTTTCTAAAAAGGAAATAAGTGAATTCCTCAAGGGCCATTGGAAGAGAGAATACAAATAGACAAATAGGAAAAACACAAAAGGTTAAGGGAAATTATTGGATAATCATTCGAATGGGTGCGCAAAAGGCAAAGAGACAACCTATTCCCCTCAACCTCATCATAAGGGTCATCATTCACCTTTTCTCTCTCTGCCTTGCCCGCAACTCCTCTTCCCGTCCTTCCCTCTTTTCAACTTTTCACCGCCGCCCCCCCAAATATAGAGGTTCTACATTACTTTACTTAACAACGCCATATGAACATATATAGCAGAGAGAGAGAGAGAGAGAGAGAGAGAGACCCTGTTGTTAGGGTTAAGAGCATAAATATATACCAGCTCTCTTGGGTTTTGTCTGAAGTTTCCATCTAAGGTTGTTAAACTCATGTGTGTGTTGTTGAGCTTTTCTTAATAGATATAATAGTCAACCGCGTTCGAGAGAGAAAGACATGCTAGAGAACATGGCTTCACAAGAAGTGATCCCAAATGGCTTTGCTCATCAGAACCCAAGTATTCCTGGATCCAATCCACCACCACCTTCCACTACCACCAAGAAGAAGAGAAATCTCCCAGGAAATCCAGGCAAGTTTACTTGTTATATTCTTCTTCTTCTTCTTCTTCTTCTTCTTCTTCTTCTCCTCCTCCTCCTCCTCCTTCTGTTCTAGCTTTGTATAGTGAAGAGTCGGAGCTATAATTGGGTTTATCCAGAAGTCAAAATGCTTACTTTGTACCAAACAAATTCTGGGTATCTAATCTTATAGTTAATAAGTACATGTTCTTTTTTTCTACAGATCCAGAAGCTGAAGTTATAGCTCTATCGCCGAAGACCCTGATGGCGACGAATCGGTTTTTGTGTGAAATATGCGGAAAGGGGTTTCAGAGGGACCAGAACCTGCAGCTCCACCGACGAGGGCACAACCTGCCATGGAAGCTGAAGCAGCGGAGCACCAAGGAGCCGAGGAAGCGCGTGTACGTCTGCCCCGAGAAGACGTGTGTCCACAACCACCCGTCGAGGGCGCTTGGGGACCTGACCGGGATCAAGAAGCACTTTTGCAGGAAGCACGGGGAGAAGAAGTGGAAGTGCGAGAAGTGCTCCAAGCGGTACGCGGTTCAGTCGGATTGGAAGGCGCACTCCAAGACCTGTGGCACTAGAGAGTATCGATGTGACTGTGGTACTCTTTTTTCGAGGTAAGACACTATTTTTCGCTCTTTTTTAAGTTTTTGCCTTTCTATGATCCAATGACAACCGAGACGAAGCTGGGAAGTTCTAACGCAAAGCAAGAAGAACATTGATAAGAAGTTGGGAAAATCATCCAACACAGGGAAAAAGTTACCACTCATGTTCCAGATTTTGCTGTTTGACTTGGACATTTTTGTGGACTTTCTTTCCAAAGTAGTACTGATAAAATTTTTGGTTGAGAACATTACATCGGAGGAGAGCGAGAAGCAATAAAAAGCAAGAAAGTGGAGTCTAGTGTGGTAACTGTGGCTGTGGACTTGACTCTTGATGTGTGCGTGGCCGGAGATGCATGACAAGCTACCCAATTAGGGTCTTATAATTAGTAGTTTGTTTTTTTGTTCCAACACATCCAAGAAAAACCTAAGAAAAAGCATGATACCATGTGGTGATGTCTTTTGGATGCAAGTTCTGGTGAATTTCATGGGGATGCGGTCGCTGATGATCACCCCAAAAGGTTGAGTGAGAGTGAGGAAAAAGGAGATAGAGCGGTGTCCTTTTGCTGATTTGTGGTATCCTAAATATACATGTCCCAAAATTCCTTAATTTCTTGAAAACGTTGGTCACTTCACATCTAGACAGCGGATGGCTTCTTTATCTTTTGTCTTCTTCCCTCGATATATACTAGTCAGCTTGAGTTTAGATGATAACACAAACAAAAGCTTGAGTTTTCAAAGAGCCTAGAGAAAGTATCATATGGAGTTTGCTTAAAAGCTTGTTCACCATTAATGTGAAAACAACAGTGAAAAAAGCTTAAGCTTTCGCTGCCTGCCTTTGCTTATTAAGTAAAACCTTCTTGACCATGTAAGAGCCAGTTTTCATATGTTCCATGCACCGGAAATTTCTCACCTTGTAAATCTCATTTCTACTTCTCAATTCATTAACTGTCCAAAAGAGAGTGACTATATATTTCTCTGTCAGTACTTTGGTATCTCGTTCTTTCCTTTATCTGCTAGTCTATACCTACGAAAATGGTAGACACGGTTACAGTCACGGAATCCTATCTTTCTTGTGCTCCATGCACTCCTTTTTGTTTAGTTTGCCACTGATGGTAGCTTTATTACCGGTTCTCATGTATCGGGCAAAATTAGACTGATTCCATCTGTCAAATAACGTCATTTCGCAGGCGAGACAGCTTCGTAACTCATAGAGCGTTCTGCGACGCGTTGGCCGAGGAGACGGCGAGAGTCAATGCAGCCACCACCGTGAACCCAACGACCGCCTACCACTTCATGGGCACTGCGCTCCTCCCTCCAAACCTCCCACCGAACCTGCCTTCCATGTTCAAGCCAATCTCAAGCAGCATGAGCACCGAGCCCATGATCAATCACCAAACGAGAAATGGCGGTGTTGGTGGTGGTGGACTTTCTCTATGGATGGTTCAAACCTCTCAACCCCAAGAATCATCGCTAGGCATCAATTTGCAAGAGATTCACCAACTTGGGTCTCTAAATAATCCCTCAGCAACACATTTGTATGCCGACAACACATGCCCAAGCAACAACCCTCCACCATCGGATCACAATATGAGCAGCTGGGTATTCGGAAGCAGGTTCTCATCAAATACTGCCTGTGAGGACATCAGCATAAACCCTCCTTCACTTCACCACATGAAGGAAGGTCCAAATCACCATCATCATCAGAACAACATCCTAAGCGTCCCTTCACTGTACAGCACTCAGCATCACCAACAAGCTTCATCCCCCGCGAACATGTCCGCGACAGCTCTCTTGCAGAAGGCGGCGCAGATGGGCGCCACGTCAGCCACCGAGCCATCTTTCTTGGGGAGCTTTGGGTTGAAGCCCAGCAATAATGATGGTCAAGAACCTCAAGATCAAGATAATAAGTTTTGTGGGCTTTTTGGGTCAAACCAAATGCCCAGCTCTGACACTGCAGAGGACATAACACTGAGCACATTGCAAGCATACCCACCACCTGCGAAACGCAGGAACATCACTCAGAGTGATGAGAACAATGCTTCTTCTGGAGGTGGGCAAACTAGGGATTTCTTGGGTGTGGGCGTGCACACCATGTGTAACCCTCCATCCATCAATGGTTGGATCTGATGATGATGATGGTGATGGTGACGATGATCGTGAACGGTGTGCTCAAATAAGAAAGAAGAAGGCAATTTGACAAAAAAGTTGGGACTTTCCGAAGGGAAAGTTGGGAACTTTACAATGGGAGAGCGAGAGAGGCAAGGAAAAAAGTTGGCATAATTGAGTGCTGATGAATTTGCCCTAAAATGTTTGGAGGGTCGAAGGAGATATCCATGCATATTCTCTCTTAGCTCTTCAAAAAGTTGATGATTTCATTTTAAAAACAAAAAAAAAGTGGTGGCTTTAAATAGCGTTGTTTTGAGGGAGGTGGTGGACTTAGTGGGGACCAAAGAGGAGCCTCGCTTTTTAGCTCCATTATTGCAATATCGTTTCATCTCTTCTTTGGTCGTTTATCCTGTCAAAGAAAAAAAAATGTGAGAGTGAGACGAATCTAAAGAATGTTTCAGTGGGAACAAAGGCTTGATGCTAGTACAAAGCATAGGGCTTGAATAAGCCAACTGGTGGTATCAATTATAGCCTTTTTCACATCACTCGAACCATGCATGCGAGCTTAATTTATGTTCATGTGAGTAGGGTTAGATGGAGCTGTTACATGCAAGAACTTGGAGGCGGAGACAATTCTCGGTGTTGCTTTTCTTCTGTATATATATGTGTTAATCCGCTGCTCATATTTTCTTTCAATTTTTCACTACAATCTTGTCTAACTCTCTGCTGTAATGAAGTTCTGGTGCAAATGTTATAGGTTATTGGTGCCAAAGAGTATCTTCTTGCATATATATTCATGTGAATTGCTTATTAATTGCAACCAATTACATTTTTTTATTGGGTACAGTGCGACAAATACTACTTTTATTTTCTAAATGAATGATCTTCCCAAAAAGAAATATGACACATATGCTTTTAAATATATGAGCGATCCTCTCCAAAAGCAAGTGCATACCTAAAACAATACAAATGAGTCTCACGCGGAACTTCATTTTACACGTCCATGGATAGTGTAAAGGATCTAAGTAATAACCATTTAATAGATGTTATGTGTGTGATTAAAATGAAAAATGGGTCATCTAACCGAACCGTCACACCGTGTCATATATCCAGTGGCTCTCATAATGCATTTCCTTCTACAACATGAGCAAGAAACCCTATGACATGACAAATGCATAAGCATGTCAAAACAGTTGCCCTCTTTCCTTTTCATGGATGTTAATCTCTTACTGGCTTCCTTGTACCGACCAAACAACATCATTTTCAAGTGCGCACGAACACACGTATATTAGACAAGGAGTGCACTTTCACTTTAGTTTTTACACTGTAGAGAACTTTATATGCTGAGTATATGTAGGTCCAATGGCTTTACTCTAACCCTCAACAGGATTTACTTTACCTTTTGTTGATGAAACATGCAGTACAGACATGAGAAAGACCTCAAGAAATCAAAAGAAAAAGATGGATTATCAAGAGGGGGGGTAAAGAGAAAAGAGAAGCTAGCGTTGTCCCTACGAAAAAAGTCCTTCAGGTTTTGAGATGTTGAGAGGAGCAAAGGATTCGCGTGGAGTTTGGTACAAGTTAACTGGGAAACTTGGACACGCAAAACCATGTTGGAGAGTTTAGTACAACTGAAATTCAAAGCTCCAGCTTTTGAGTCTCTTGAGAGCCGATTGGTAGGATTGCAAGGGGAAAAGAGTGATATTTGTTTGCATCTGCCTTGTGCATAAATTAGGAAAAAGAAAAAGAAGTGCGAAAAACACATGGGTTTCCTCAGGATATGTAATAGTTAAAAGGGGTTTTCTTGCTAGTGAGAAGTTTAGGACTCAAGAGAATGAATATTGTGACAAGGATGAAGTCATCACAGACTATATCAATTTGGGAAAAAAACCACCAAAAATTCCAAATTATGTCAATTATGACACATTTATCCGAAACTTTTTCTTGTTACATCAGAAGTCTCAAATTATACCCACTGTGACACATTTATCCTAAGCTTTTTTCTTGTGATATAAAAAATATCATATTTACACCTATTTGACACATTTACTCCCTATCAAAGTTTCATCATATGATTTTTCAGTCAAAACGTCTTTTTGATTTTCACTTAAGCCACGTGAGTGCCATGTCAACACCGTTTGCTTTCCAACGTCCATTTAGGCAAATTTTTAACGGTGCCATTGATGGAACCTTGAGGAAGGGTAAATATGTCATACATGTACAAGTTTAAGGTTTTTGGTGTCATTGGAAAAAAGTTAAGGGTAAATGTATCACTATGGGCATTGTTTGAGGCTTTTGGTGGCTTTTGCTCTATTGATTTTTTCATGTACAGAAAAAGAATTCGATGGCGCAAAGGTCGCCCATCAAGAATACATATGGCGCAAAGTCTAGGGTTATGCATTCGTAGGGTGGAATAATATGGACCGTAAGTCCTGGCACGGTATACATTTCAAAAGTAGATGCAAAGTTTAATTAAAAATAAAGTCCAAGCATGATTCATATTTATTTTTTCGAAAACTCAGGGATACGAGCGTAGAGGCCTTGTTGCCTCCATGGAACACCCTGCAAGCAGAGGTGATCAACGGGCGGGCAGGTGGAGAGGCTCGAGAGGCAAATTGGTGGACTTAGGCAATGTCCTTACATGAGAAAGCCCTACCCACCCAATTTTTAGCTCAAGTCCGGCCCTACCCAAATATTTATGTGTAAATTTTTTATCATGGGTGCGTTTGGGCAATACATTACGCCAACCTTCAAGCTCGGCCTGGGCCCATCCAATTATTACCTCTTACCCAAAGCCCCATGAACCGGTTAAATTCAAGCCTTTGGCATGTGCATGTGGCCCTAAGCCATAGCAATTTGCACAAGTTCATGGAATTTGACTAGGCAACCACCAATTCCTAAACTGAAAAACCCCCGATGTCCCAACCAAGAGTGCCAACCCTAGAGGTTGCATGATTTGTGTAGATTTTCCTATAAATGCATGAAGTCCATTATATCTTGATGTCATGATGCAACGAGTTTTGTCGAACAACATGGAGAGAGATATTGTACATTGTAACTGCATATTATATCCATGTAATTTTGCATTGTCATGTGATCACATTGGACAACGAACGAATAGGAAAAAACTCGAGCTCATCACACCATGGGCCAAGACCTCTCTAGAATCACTAAAACTCCATAATCTTAATCACAATACTTTGTTATATATGATTAAAATAAGATATGGATAGTTCAGGTTCTTAGCATTAGCGTCATATTATATATCTCGTTTATATTCTAAGTCTATATAAGTCATAGAATGCATCACATGAGCATATTTGTAATAAGTTCTTATTGACGTGCTTTTGACCGTAGAAAGAAATGCAACGATCACTTTGACCGATCAAACCACTGTTTAATAGTCATGACTTATTATTTGGCAATAAACATTTCACTTAAGCAACGCTTAAATGAATGAAACAAGTTAGATGATTTTATTATTTATAAGCCAAAAATTTATAATAAAAAAAAAGGAATCCAAAGGTTACTTGAATGATCGACAATGATTAATGAAGAACTCAAAGAATTGTGAGCAAAAAAATATTTGAACTTGCATAATCTTCTTCTTCTTTCTCGGCTCGAGAGTGTAAATCAATTAGAAAATGAAAACCGTACCTGTCAAATGAAATCGCCATTGCTATTACCTCCAAATCTTCTTATTGAAATTAATCTAAATTATATTCGGCATTTTTAGGTCCGTTTCTGGTGTTTTGTGCGCTCTTTATAAAGAGAGAAAACGGAAGAAAATATATGAAATAGTAAGGGGAGAGAGTATGCCTATATTTATAAGTAGTTGAAAGTCGAGCATGCTTTGTTGCTTGGAAATACAAAGGAAGATGAGAGGCACTATAGCAATTGGAATTATAAAGAAGGTAGCCCTAAACGGGTTCGGGTGTGATTGGGCCGAATGGGCCTCCAAAGTATGCAGCTTCGTTTCATTACTTGGCCCACCTGAGAGCCCTTCCTCTTTGGATGTTGATCGGTCTCTTGTATGGGCCTATTGCTCCATCCATTTGAATGAAAAAGGCTCTCTCTTATAGGCAATTTCTTGGCCTCGTGATGTTTCGCCTCCTTTATATTTCTCGATGGTTGCCAGGATTAGAGGTGATCATTGGACGAATCTAAGACTAGACAAGACTTTCGGGTCGGGGCATAATATAACTCGTCGTCCGAGCAACCCATCGACAAGAAACATAGTATTTTCAGGATAGGCGGGCCTGTCTCGGTCCAAAGGCCCAGATTGGTCTTTAGGCCGTATAATATCACTTACCAATCAAGGGTATATATAGTTTCTTGACAGGAAAAGTACAAAAAAAAATCATAAACTTATTACATTTGTATCAATTCAGTCATAAACTTTTCAATTTGATCAATTTAAGCTTAAACATTTTCACATTGATATTAATTTAGTCCAATTAAGTGGACGTCAGCCAACATTGACATTGACATTTTTAATAATATTTTAATGATATTTTAAATTTTTTAATAATTTTTTCTTTTCTTTTTTTTTTCCTTCTCTTCCCTTTGGCCTGTGGCCGATGCTCGACCACGGCCAACGACCGGCCACAGGTGAGGGTCAGCGAGGGCTACCCTCGCCCAGGCCACAAGAATCTAGCCCTTGCCAGATCTGGTGAGTGCAGTCCTCCCAAGAGCTAGCAAGGACAACCCTTGCCAAAAGCCGCGAGGGCGACCCTCGCCTAGGCCACAAGGGTCCAACCCTCGGTAGATCCTATGAGGGCGGCCCTCGCCTATGGCTAGTCGCCGACTATGGCTAAGTACAGGCCACAGGCAAATGGGAGAGAAGAAAAAAAAATAAGGAAGGAAAAAAAGAAAAAGGGAAATTTTTTTCAAAAATTATTAAAAATATTTACTTCAGTGCCGGTCGTCCGCCGGCCGTGCAACGTAGGACAGTCGGCATCCACGTTAGCAATTTCCGATGAAAATTGGCTGGATGGACTAAATTGATACAAATATGAAAATATTTAGAATTAAATTGATCCAATTAAAAGGTTTAGCACTGAATTGGTACCAATACAATAGGTTTAGGACTTTTTTTTGTACTTTCCCCTTTTCTTGACGTATGGTCAAACACTTGATTTGCTAGTGATGTAATTCATGTGAGACGCTTACCGTTGATGCTATGTGATAATAATGTGGTAGATTAATAGATACATAAGAGTTGAGACATTAGCAGCGACGAATTACGTATTGAATGCTGGTAAAGAAGACAGGGTATCCAACGTTCATATTCACGGTGGACTAGATTTACGGAGACTACAAACCATAGGGGACCAAGATCCTTTTAATTTGGGGGCAAATTGAGATAGCTAGAGCGTCATTTTTCGTAGATCAATGCAATGGTATGCAAAAAATGATCAGATACTAATTTTATTTCTCCTTGGTCCGTCTTCTTCAGCTTACAATGCTCTGAGTTGACAAAGATTGGTCAGATGTCCTTGGTTCATTTTCAGCTTTCCTTCATGCATGAAGTGAGACCCTTTTAGGCATAAAGGAAAGAGTGTTGAAGGACAGGCACATTACTTATTATGAGGGTTCAGCACATTCTCTCCTGGTAAAGGCCATATACTCATGATGCACGTTGTGATGAGAGACTTATTACGAGGGTTCAGCACATTCTCTCCTGGTAAAAGGCCATACTCATGATGCACGTTGTGATGAGAGAGAGAGGGAGCAATTCTTAAAAAAGAAAGATCAAGCTAGTTTATATTT